TGTTCCTAACGCCCTCCCTACACCCTTGACCATCTTCCCCCACACCTTTCCGTGCCTAGTCACTCCAAATACTCCATTAAGTCCCTTGAGACCACAAACAACTCAATTCACCCCATCCACCCATTAATTCTTCAATCAAATTATCCTAGAAGCTTTCTTGATACCTAAAACCTAATCCACCATCAAAATACCCACCATATCTTTACCAACCAAGGCATCGTCGAAATTCATTTCTTGAAGAGAGCTCAAGTCAATCAAATTTCAGCTCAAGGGCTCCTCACGGACACTAGAAAATCATTTTGAGCTATTCAAATCAATGAAACACTTATCCGATCAATGTAACACACTAAATCATAGATATAAGGCTCTATAATGATTGTTCATGAAGCAAAGTTTAACAACATCAATGAAGAGGAAAATAACAAAAATTCCATTAAAAGATATATATAGAAAAGTAATGATATGCACTGATACATGATAAATTTACGTGACTTATTTATATTAAATGCAATGCTATCTCCCTTATTTATAATGATATTTCACTTGAGAAAAATATTTTTGTTGTGATGTGCAAGATACAAAATTTATGCCACTTGGGGAAAGAAATAAAGTAAAGTGGGAAGCAAAAAAAGATGAAAATAAGAATTTCGATCAAACAGACCTGCATTTGTGCACAGTAAGTGCGTTTACGTGCATGCACTTGCACATGTGCATGCACGTCTGCACCAACGCGTGCACCTATACCAACATGTGCATGCGCGTACCCACTCGCCTCTCGTGTGCTCATACTTGCATTCCTCCAGTTTCCGCTTCGCGCGCACACCTGTACCCGCAAAAACCCGCGTCCGTGCGCCTCCAACACCGCACATCCACACACATGCATGCATGTCCCAACAATTTTCAATATTTCAATTATTTAATTTAATGGTTAGATTGATTGATAGTTTTTAGGTTTACACATAATTTTTATTAAATTCACATTTGATTTTAATTGATAATTTTGTCAATCTTATGATTTCAAAGTAGTGAATTCTCTAATTTCTCATAAATTTGTTTTAACTAGAATTTAAAAAAAAAAAACCATGAAAAGCATAGTCCCAAAATTTGTTAAAAATATAAATAAATTATTTCATGCAAATTAGTTTTACAAATTGTGACAACTTTTCAACTATTGATTCCAATTACTTATTCAAGCTTACTCTTATAGATTTCAACATGTATTTCTCTTATTTGAAGATGAATTCAAAATGAAAGGGTAAGTTTGTAAATAGCATATTTGCAATTATACCCTTACACATAACTAATGGGTTTTATTGCATTTGAATGTGTGAATTCACTTTTTAATTTAGTTATAATATTTCTTGCAATGCTTTCTTTAAATTCTCATTTTGGTTTTCTGATTTTATTGTTTATTTATTTATTTTATTGATTAATGGTTTTTTTTTACTTGAAACTGCAATTTCTAAATGTTGTGTGTTTTTCAGTCCTTGAAAAAAATTAAAGGAAGTCACTATAATCAGAGATCACACATAACAAAATAATTATTTAAAATTTTAATTGATTTTTGGATTTTAATTGATTAGAAAATGTATAATAATCATTTTATTTTTATTTATGTTCCATATTGCTCTTCATGTTATTCTGAGTTCACAACAATTTTTTTAATTTTTTTTATTTGAATTTTTTAAAGCTTTGTATTTAAATTTTTTCATTTAAATGAGTTATCATAATTACTTATCACTCAAGCTCTATTGTCAGCGCCACTGTTTTAGTTTTACATGTGTCATTCACCGGTAAGATTTTTAAAATACATTGTTCTTTAATTGGAGAGGCAATGATTATGCGTTGAGATAGCATGTATCTAGTGATCTAACAAGCATTTTGTGAATCATATTATTTAATCCTATCATCTGCTTGAAATACAAGAAAATGGATTATATCTAGCAATCGTCCCAAATGGGATGACAGACTGAAGTCATTCGAAAAAAGGCGCATGATTCATGCAATTCACTCTACATTTCTATAATCTTTTTCTTGTCATAGGATCACTAGGGCCTAAGTTTTATATCTGACAGTCAAAAGTCCATGGTTATAAACTTTGCTTCATGAACGACCATTTTCAAGCCTTATATCTAAGATTTAGAGTGTTACATTGATTGGAAAAGTGTTTCATTGATTTGAACAATTGAAAATGATTTTCTAGTATCCACGAGAAGCCCTTGAGCTTCCATTTGATTGATTTGAGCTCTCTCTAAGAAATGAATCTTGACGGTGCTCGGGTTGGCAAAGGGATGGTTTAAAAGGGTCAGAAAGAGGTTATTTTGATGGTGGATTAGGGTTTAGAGATCAAGTAAGATTTTAGGATAATTGGATTGAAAAATTGATGGGTGGAGAAGGGAATTAATGGAGGATTTGGAGTTACTAGGCTCAAGATGTTGTGGGAGAAGATGGTCAACGGTTTAGGGAAGGCTTTAGGATCGAATTGAGAGAGCCTGTACAATTGATATGCAAGTTCTTACAAGGGTTCAATAACAGTTGAACAACCTTCAATCAAGGAACCTGGGGGGTATTTATAGGCAATCTTGGCTCAGTTTAAGCTTTAGAAAGGTTCTAGGCACCAAATATTTGTGTCAGAATGACATATCATGATCAATCTTGAAAGTGATGGGATTTGGACACTTAGGCAGACATTAGATCAATATGGGAAATGAACATTTCAATTTTTAAAATCGTTAATTGCTTAGACATATCACCTTATGGTTTTTGAAACATGGGTTTTATGATTTCAAGAGAGGCATTAAATTATTCTTGATCCTAATTTATTTCTAATTTTTTTCATGAAAATGTTATGACGAATTTTGATTTATTATAATATAGATTCTTAGTATATTTAAAGATTTTGGTGCTTAGTTATTTAAAAAAATTTAAAAATTATATTTTCAAAAAAGTTTTTATAAGTAAGGTTTTGAGTTAGTGCTTCAATACATATGATTTAATCTGCACGGGAAGCAAAAATGATAAAAATCAAAATTTCCATCAAGCGGCCCTGCATTTGTGCACTCGTAAGTGCATTTATTTGCATGCACATGCACCTGCTCGTGCACACCTGCACCAGCGCGTGCATAGGTCTGCACCTGCGTGTGCACATGCCTGCA